ACGCTCTTCAGCCGGTTCTTGCTGAGGTCCAGGATTTTGGTTTCTATGGGAATGCCCTCAGGGATGGACATGAGGCGCCTCCTGTGACAGCTGACAGACTTGTTCTGTGCTGAGCATTCACAGCGAGCCGGGCAGCCTATGGTGGAACCCATAAAAACTAGCAGCATAGCCAGACCTAGGAATGGCTGCCAACATGATATGGCCGTGTGAAGCATGACTCCACTGATGTCGTCTACTTCTTGGTTACGGGCCTGCAGGGACATGGAAGAAAAAAAGGAAGATAAGTTCTGAGCTGAAGAGAATCTCAACCAAACTTCCAAAATGTATTTCAGAACAGGAGTATAGATTTTCATTTAAAAACACCAACAGACTCTAGAACGAATGCAGAGAACAAACAAACAAAAAAGACTGCATTATAAGTCAAGAGGCATTTCTAAAAGTCTGTTTGCCCAGCATTTTCCCTGCAGACAACAGATATGTCATGAAGCAGCTTTTCATACTGGATGCAGTGACGAGAGCAATTCTCTGGGCTTCTGCATGACAGGCAGTTTCTGCTACAAAATCAGAGACAAACACATGCTTTGTGGAAACAGGGATGGAAATAAACTTCACTGTGCTTGTAAAATGTAGCCCCAGTGATGAACTAGAACTTTGCATTTCCTTACTTTTTTAACACTTCAGAGCAACCTTACTGTTGTAGTTCCTACATTCTCTGTATGAGAAAACTCCTTGGCAATTAAAACAAATACCTCTTAGCATGTAGTGTAGTCACTGTACATACTATTTATATGTAGATGCATGTGTCTGCATGTGTGTGTGTGTGTGTGTAGTGGGAGAAATGTTTCATACACACACACATGAATTGCTGCATGTCTGATTAGCAACTGATATTAAGGACAAATTGATTTATTTTGATTGATTTTAGCTTCACAAAAGGGTTTTATTTCTAAGACCCATTGAGATGCCAGCTATTACAAAGAACATTGCTTACAGAATACCTTTTTCATTTTTAAACATGAACCAAAATGAGAGCTGAGTTTTGTTTAAGCAATGCATTCCTGATAGGTACAATAGATTGCCTGGAAGCCACCGTTTCTATTAGAGTTATTTTATTTCAGCCTTGAGGTTAAAATTGAGGGTTGCTTAAAGAAAGATTGGTTTTATGAAACTTAATTATTCTTCTCTCCAGTTTACATTTTAAAAGTTTAGTTACTAAGGGGAAATACTTTTATTTGGGTGGCTGCTAAATAAAGCACTCTGAAACCTGATTCCTTAAAAAAGTGCAGGTGATTTGAGTTTGGGTAAAAGTGAATAACTAGTAACGTTTGCCAAAGTGAGGCACACGTTAAGCAAGCTCTTTTTTCAAGTCACTCTTGACCTGTGTGGCCTTTCTGTTCCACAATGGTGCTTCTTCTAGGCAGAGACTGATAATATGCAGCAAATTGTGTGGTGGCTATGTGATATAACCTGGGGACTGGGATGAAGACCGTTCTTTATTATACTATCTATAACAGTACATTTCAACTTGTCCTGGTAGGTCAGACTGCTGAGATTCATTTAGTTTCCTCCTTCAGAAGAAGTCTTGCAAGTAAAGATTGCTAGTTATGTCCAGCTGTGACAAAGGTTTTCCAAGATAAACTTCACTTCATTAGGAACTAAGTTAAAACTGAAAATCTATAGGGCTCTGTGATTTGGGCCTTTCCACTGAATTCTGATCAAAGAGGCTTTCAGTTACTCTGATCATTAGTTTTCGAACTCAGTCTGTGAGGTTAGCACTTTCATGCTGATACTTCTAGCGTGCAGGGAATTCATTTCCCATCTTATTCACCTAATGTATGAAGCATAAAGTAAACAGGTTCAGTGGAAGATGAGCACTCCTGGAGTGCTCATTTTAGTTGGTAAAAATGTGAAATGCCTCTCCACAGACACCCAAGCTACCTGGCAAGTACAACTTCTAAGCAAGTATGAAGAAAGGGAGGTGTGCAGAATAAACTAATTTTGTCAACTACAGCTGGCTGAAGAAAGGGAAGTGGAGTTCGTAAAGACTTTCAAAATTACTAATTTCTGTTTGAGCGCACACCCAGGGACAGATAGACGTGCGTTAATGTACTAATATGTGTATGTACATGTGGTTATTTGTGTGTGTGTAGGTGTATGAGAAAGGCAAGATTTCAGCTGATGTTAATTACATATTAATGAGAAAATCTAAGTTTAAAGCAGTTAAAACTCATGCACACCTACAGGCAAATAAAAAAAAAAAAAAGAAGAAAGCCTGAGAGGATGGAGGGGTACTTTAATTTATCCAGGTATTTCTATTATAATCATTAATCTTACACTTGTTAGTTACTTTTGTGGTGAATTCCCCACTATTCAGCTACTCTGTATAAAAGTGATACATATGAGGCCCTGTCTTTATTAAAAAGAAAGTGGTATCCTTAGCTAACTCACAATGGGTGAGTCTACACGTCGCCGTATGGCGTGCTCCATTGATATAGCAATCCCGTGTGTTTACACTTGATTGCCAGCTAAGCCGCTGCAGTGGTGCGCTCCCCAGGTATAGTGCACTGCTATGACAATGTAGCAGTGAAATCTAACTGTGTACCACACGCATGGTGCAGTAACTGCCTATACTGCGCTGTGCTTTAGTACTTCCAAAAGGAACACTAAAGCACGGTGCTGTAGCAACGTTGCCACACAACGATGTATAGATGTGCCCAATGACAACCAAGATTAAAAAACAAACAAACAAAAAACAAGTGAAGATGAGGCAGCTAGCACACTGAATATCAAGTAGACACCTAAGTGATTACTCTGACCTCCTGAAAGGTGAGAGGATCACAAAGTATCTTGACTTCATTTGAATTTTACCTTGTATTAGTTATCTACAACATAATTAATAGAAGGTAAGAACACAGCATTTTAAAACACAAAACCATTGTTGAGAATCATGGCTGCTTGCAGATGTGGAACCTCCCCCTGCCCTCCTCCACCAAAATGGTGCTTTACTTTAAACTCATTGTGTTTCCTTGCTGAGCCTAGCACATGCCCAGAAGAGGCACTGCACTACTTGTACCTGGCTTTCTCAAAATCTGTAGAGGTCGGGCACTTTAGTGGGGCTTTTTTGATGCTTTTATCTAATAGCTGATTGAATCAGCTTTAGCTAAAAGCGCCAAAAAGCCCTGCTGAAATGCACGATTTATATAGGTGCTGCGGAGCCAGGTTGAAGTAACATGCTGCTGTTTCCTGTAGAGCAAGCTTTTTTTTCCCCCCACTTCTGTCAGAGCCCCATGTTACCATTGGTCCATAGCCTGTTTCAACACATAGCCCACAGCTAGCCAGTTAACAATTAACGAAGCTTGTTTTAATTCATTAGTTAATAGCTCTGTGTGATCTCACCCCACACACTTGAGACTTCTCTTGGTGTTTATTCCAAGCCCTTTGAAATGCAAATCATTTGTATAAAATCTTACAACTTTCACTCTTCATTCTGAATGAATGTCTGGCCAGAACATGAGTTTACCAGTATTTCTTAAGTCCTTATTCAACCCTATGCAAACACTTGCTCTAACCCTTATGTACCCTGATAACACACTGTAAAACACTGCATAGGGCCCTTAACTCTGTGCTACAGTGAATTCTACCCAGAAACAGGAACCATTTATGCAGATTTAATGCTTAACTGTTAGTGCTTATCCTCTTCTTTGACTTGGCTACCCTCTTTATCCAACCTCATTCTCCTTCACAATACAGCTCTGGTACCTAGATCAAATTTTAGCACTGCCAAAATGTACAGGACTCTCACTGAAATCACTGATAGTTTGATATTTGTGCCTGGGGTCATTATTGTTGAACCCAGAGGCTAGGGACTGACACTGAAAAAGCCTGAGCCTGAATCGATTCAATTTTTGCACGGTAGTCTAACCTAGCTAGGCTGAACCAGTTTGTAACCAGACAGAAATCCTGTCTGGACTGAGGAAATTCAGGTACATGCCTGCAGTGGCTCAGGCTAGAAGCTGAGGGGGCACTAGAGCAGCCCTCCCTACCCTTAGATAGTGCTGAGCTCAGGGGGGCATGGCCAGGCCACAGCAGAACCTCTGATTAGGGAGGGGTGTAAACCCCCACCCTGCCTGCAAAATCTCAGGCTTTTCCACACTCGCTGCTCAAGGGGTGGAAGTGTTGCCGGATTCCAGCCCCCTGCTAGTTCTCCAAGGCAAATGGGGTGTGTGCAGTACATGTATATGTTGATGATATGGAGCTTTTCAATCTCCCTCCCTACTTTTTTATATAGTCTGCAGCAAACTGGTAGGCAAGGGAGCCAGCAGGGAGCTGATAACAGTGTTTATCTCCTCATCAGCAAAACAATAACCTCTCTCCATTAGTTTGAACTCTTCTTAAAAAGCTTACCAGCTAACCTTTTGATCAGCTCCAAAAAGCCCTAAATGGTCACTGTTCTGTCTGCCTGTCCCAGTGAAACTGGAGACACACACAGACACCTCTCAGCATTAGCTAGCATACTACATGCCTAGGGTCTGTGGGGCTGGGGTCTGTGCTGCGGGAGATGGGAGGAAAGGGGAGAGGGAGGGAGGGAGGGGGGATTCATGCTTAAGCAGTGAGGGGGATGGGCAGGGGGAAGCAAGGCAGACCCTGCTGTACCTGCAGTCTCTGCCAGAGCTCCAGCCAAGGAAGAGAGGGGAGGGGTCAGCTCTGCTGTGCAGCAGAGAGCCCTGTCCAGCCCAGAGAGCATGCAGGGTGCTGGGGGAGTCTGGTTTATCTTTAACCAGCAAGGGGTCTGGGACAGAAATGGGATGAAACGGTTTGACCCAAATCAGTTAAGTCTGATACTACATTCAACCAGGTTTATCTCAAACCAGTTTCAGCCATTTTCAAATGGGTATATGTGTACTGAACATCTGTTGTATTACAGGTTTAAAACAGTTTCTGATCACTTAAACCACTTTATGTGTTATGTCTGTCCCTAGCCAGAGTCCCCTGGGTAATTCAAGAATAAGTACCAGTAGCAGACACTTAGAACTTTGTGCTGCTTCCTGGAGTTAAGGTCACCTAATGCGTTCTTTTATCTGCCTTGTTCTCAGCTGTTTGTAACTTTGCTAAATTAACTATCTGTAATTAACTTTTTCATGTCTGCTTTAGGTTGATTATTTTTTAATTTTCAACTAAAATAGTCCAGCAATATTTTAGAGCAAGCTTAGGGGGAAATAATATTGTTTTGATCATACTAAAACAATTTGTTATAACTCCTCTGCTTAAGTCTATTATCTTGCTGTGAAGCAGGGACTTGAAATTCATCAGTGTAGTCATTCTAGTGCCAGGATTTCTTTATCATTCCCATAAAAACGTACCAAAATGGAAGCATATTATTTGCCCATAAAACAAGTAGGTTTGCAAATGCTCAGTAGAGACTGTTAGAGTTTCACAGCTAAATTCTCTAAAGGTTCCATCCACAATGAGCATGTTCCCTAGACTGCAAGGGTGGGACAGGATTTTCCTCAAATTAGTGTTCCAAGCTTTCAAGTGCTATTGTTATGCTGGGCACAGGCAGAAAGAGTGTCAGTGGCAGACTGATAGAGCCCCGACAT